TTCAGACTTATCTTGCTGTTTTTGTGTTTGTTCGGCGTTCAAGTCGTTGCCTTTTGCGTGTTTGTCTATGGAAGGACCGGTCATACATTCTGCTATGCCGCGTTGACTCACGGGCTTGACCTTCTTACGGCCCCTCATATCTATTTTATGATCGATAATACTAAGTTCTGCACACTACGGAGCAATCTGGCAGCAATGGACGTTTTTGGCTGAAGGAATGAAAATGTACGGATCGGCCTCACTTTGTTCCTTATTTCCAAAGGCCAAAAAGGCCTCTTTATTCCTTAAAAGTAATATATTACTTAAAAAAAAAACACTGCCGTTGGGTCCTATTACTGTGGCTACCATTCACTGGTATATGAGTGTCGGTCATTTCCAACACCCCCCCGTGAGCGACACTCCATCGCTACGGGCCGTCCCGTGCCTCATCCCGGTCTCCCATTCTCTAGGCAACAGCCAGTGGGTATCGATCCGGCGACCTCTCGGCAGCGCAATGCGCCATTCGGGGCTCATTTCTTATTGACGAATTGGCGACGGAGACAGCTAACGCTGATTGTTATTCCGGAAGGATTGCCGGTGGCGAAGATATTTTGCACAATAAAATATTACAAGTAATGTAAAGAGTATTATTAGCGTTCGGCAGGACTTGAGGAGATTCCTATGAGGAATACCGATCGTAGTGAGATAAACAAATAAGCGCAGTCACCGCCCTAAATACCGGCGCTAGCGGAAAACTCGTACATTCCGCGATCTAACTGCACGTACATTCCGCGATCTCACTGCGCCGTCCTGACGGTGCCCAAATGTCTATCACTTAGCTACAGTATATGCATCGGTAGCCCATAAGGTTCTGGGTTAAGTCTTCCCCATTAGTCAGGCGCAGTCTCAGGGTCAAGACCCCTGGTTGACAACCATACGAGTTGGGAGAGGACCGTTTCCTCAACAAAGGTCACGCACCTTGAAGACTTTCGCTATTGCGGCTTTAATTGCCCGGACCATTTCCGGGTCTTCTGACGCAATAATGGTGTCATCTACGTGCACCAAAGCAATAACAGGCAGGCGGCTGGCAGAGGTTAAGGCCTGACTTCTGCTCCCGGTCGACCTGGGTTCAAATCCGCCTGCCGACCTCTCGGGTGTTTGAGAGGTGGTGAAATGGGAGGTGGCCCCCCATCTTGTGGACGGTGTAGGACGTGATAAAATCAACTTGCGAGCTGTCCAGGAACTAGGTTGAGGCGCCGTTGATCCGCTAGATTTGGTTGGATGCTGGTGGTGAGTTGCCAAACTCAAAGAGTACACGCTGAAGTCGGATGGGGTGAATGGCTTAGGGTGCCCCTCTAGCAGGGGAGAGCAGGGAATTGCCTCGGGAAGGAGGCCACTGGTGAAGCTTAACCACCCTGTAACAACATCAACAACCCCACGCTCGTCCGTCTTAACGAACATCGCCGAATCAGACTTCGAAGGATAAAGACCCAGCTTGGCGAACTCTGCTGATAGCTTTACATACCATGGCAGGCGGCTGGCAGAAGTTAAGGCCTGACTTCTGCTCCCAGTCGATCCAGTCGACCCGGGTTCAAATCCGCCTGCCAGCTCCTCGGGTATTTGAGGAGTGATGAAATGGGAGGTGGCCCCCCATCATATGGACGGTGTAGGACGTGATAATATCAACTTGCGAGCTGACCAGGAACTAAGTTGATGCGCCGTTGATCCGCTAGATTTGGTTGGATGCTGGTGGTGAGTTGCCGAACCCAACGAATACATTCTGAAGTCGGATGGGGTGACGGATTAGGGTGCCCCTCTAGCAGGGGAGAGCAGGGACTGCCCCGGGAAAGGGGGCCGCTGGCGAAGTTAACCACCCTGTAATAACATACATACCAGCAACGGGGTGCCTGCTTCAAACCGTAAATAGACCTCTCCAGCTTGCACGCAAGCGACCGGTCACTGGATGCATACCCAGGCGGTTGCTCCATCCACAACTCCTCCTTCAACTCGCCATTCAAAAATGCAGTAGACACATCGAGCTGGTGCACCGTCATGTTCCGCGCTGCGGCAACTGCTAGTAAAGCACGTAATGACGAACACGTGAGGTAGGGGCAAACAACTCCAGGCCTGGCTTCTGCTCCCGACGTGTTCCGGCGCGTCCGGGTTCAAATCCGCCTGCCGACCTCTCGGGGTGTTTGAGAGGTGATGAAATGGGAGGTGGCTCCCCATCTTATGGACGGTGTAGGACGTGATAAAATCAACTCGCGAGCTGACCAGGAACTAAGTTGACGCGCCGTTGATCCGCTAGATCTGGTTGGATGCTGGTGGTGAGTTGCCAAACTCAAAGAGTACACGCTGAAGTCGGATGGGGTGAATGGCTTAGGGTGCCCCTCTAGCAGGGGAGAGCAGGGAATTGCCTCGGGAAGGAGGCCACTGGTGAAGCTTAACCACCCTGTAACAACATCAACTCCCCATAATCAATCCCCTCGCGTTGCTCGAAACCCTTCGCAACCAATCGCGCCTTAAAACGCTGCCGTCATCGTTGTACTTAACCTTATACACCCTACGACAAGGCAATAAATGTGTACCTGGAGGTGGCGTCTTCAGCTCCCAAGTATTGTTAGCCATCTGGGCGGCGATCTCGTCGTCCATCGCACGCCGCCAATCGTCTGCATGTGGACTTGCAATGGCTTCTGCAAACGAATTTGGTTCAGGAATAACAGCAGAAAGAACAGCATTAATGCGACCAGTAACAGTGCGGCCAGGCTCGTTTCGCCACCACTCGCCAGGGCGTTTACGCTCTCTAACTGGGTACCGAGTCCCTGCCATTTCCACATCAGGCTGATTGTTATCTTGCACGTTCGCGGCAATTACAGTCAGACCTGTCGGGAGTGGGGCACGTTATCAGCGACTCGGAGCTGGCGTATACAGTGCTTGTTGGTCTACCCAGCCGCTTCAACGTGGTAACGACGTCCCTGCTGGTGCGTGACGGCGATTTGGACATGGCGAGCGTCACCTCCAAGCTTTTGGCTATCGAGGTGGCAAGCGGTGGGTCTAGTAAGCCTACCGAGTCGGCAGCTTTTGCTTCTGTCGGCGGTCTCACGTTTGGTGCCTCTGGTCTTAGGAATCACCGCGCGGCCACTGTTGTCACTATTGCAAAAAGCTTAAGCCCGGGCACGATATTAAGGACTGCAGGAAGTTGAAGGCACTAAAGCAGTTGTCCATTTCTGGCAGTGGACAAGGTAAGGGTGGTGGTGGCAGCGGAGTTAGCGGCAGCAAGCCTGGGCCCGGTGGGTCTGGAAAGGGATCAGGATTCCCGTGGCAGGTTGCGTTCACAGCGTACAATGGTGAGCGTCCGCAGGGGTGGTTCCAGGACTCAGCCGCCACTCACCACATAACGTATGACCGCTCAGAACTTCTCAACGTGCGGTTGTTGGAGCCATGGGAGTAGGGTTGGCAAAAATACTATATTTATTTACCCCAATAGTAATGTAGTACTATGATACTATTACTAGGCAGGGGCATCAAGGGTGTTGGAAATGACCGACACTCATATACCAGTGAATGGTAGCCACAGTAATAGGACCCAACGGGGGTCCGGCGCTTTGCTGGTCTTAACAAAGGGACAGTCTTTTCGGCCGACTAAAGTTGGCACGGTTATGATTCGGTCTAACGTCAACGATAAACAGGCCATCACTTTTAAGAAGGTCTACATCGACGAGGAGGCCACCGCCAAAATCCTATCGGTCCGCATCATTGATGATCGTGGAGGCAGTGTGGGCTTCGGTGGCGGACAGGTGAAAGTCACCGTAGCTTCTCGTAGCGCAGCGAAGAGCGAAGCAGAGTCACCGTAGCTTCTCGTAGCGCAGCGAAGAGCGAAGCGGAGGGAAGGCATCTCTGAATCACCGTAGCTCATATGTTATGAGCGGAGGCCTATCGTCGTAGTCCCGACGTTAGACGGACGACGTTTAGTCGTTCCGTCGTCGGGACGGAGACCTTACCCCGACTTTGCTGTCCGTCCGTCTGTTCGGAGTTGCTGCTGTTTTCGCGTTTTTCGCCATGTCGTGCGCGGTTTCGGAGCTGCGCCTTTTAAGCTAGCTCCATCGCCGCGTGGGAGCCGCGGTCGCCGGTTCGCGCCCCGCCATCGCCGCGTTTTTTCGTTTTTTTGTTCGGGAGCACGCACCGCACCGCACCGGATTGCACCGCACCGCACCACAGCTGGGCCCCCGCAATGCGCTTCTGAGCATTTGCATGCACCGCTTCGTCGAGCGCGCTAGCTCCAACATCGAGTGGGTGCCACGGTGCCGGTTCGATCTCGGCGCCGGTGCGTCTTTTCGTCCTTTTTATGTTACGGATCGCTAGCTTCATCGCCCGGCGCCCGCTTTCTTCTATTTTTCGTTCGGGAGTGCTGCCTTCTTCGTCGCGTGGTTCGTTTTCCGCATCGTCATCGTTTATTGTTCTTTTCTTTTCGTTCTGGACCGTGCACCGCACCGCGTCGTCCCGGACTGCACCGCTCCACGCCTGGGCCCGCGCAATGCGCCCCCGAACATCGCCGTACACCGCTTTGGTGTCTGCGCCGCGCCGCACCGCACCGTGTTGCACCGCACCGTGCCGCACTGCGCGGGCAGTGCATCGCACCGCATTACAGCTGGACCTGCACAATGCGCCCCGGAGCATCAGGGTGCACTGCTTGTGGTCTAGTCCAACATCGAATGGTAGCCGTGGTCGCAGGCTCGATCCCGGCGCATATTTCAACGTTTTTTTCATTTGGGACCGCGCACCGCGCCGCACCGCACTGCAGCGCACCGCACCGCACCACGATTGAACGCGCAAATCGATAAACATTGGCCGCACAGCACTGCGCAATTTGACATGCGCTGACTCGCGCGATTTAACGCGCAACCCATCACACAACTCGACATGCAATTAGATGTGCAATTCAACGTGCAATTTAACGTGCACTGAACCACGCAATTTGACGCGCACTGAAGTGTGCAGTGCTTGTCCAACGTTGTCCGTGTAGGCTGTACGGCATTTTGTGAAACTGTTTTGTTCGCGGATGTTGGCTCGCTACAATATAATTGCACCGCATATATACGCATCCGGTTTACTTATTTTCATATACGGTACCTTGGCTGAGCGGTTGCTTTAAAGCTGGCGGTTGTAAACTAGTCGTGCCGCCAACATAAGCTGTGCGGTATTTCGTGAAGCTGGCCTCTTTACGTGCATCGGCTCGCTAACCGATTTTCGCCAGACGACAACAACTCGGCACATCAACGGTTGTTCATCGCCAGCGATGGCTATTCATCGCCATCCTCGTCTGCACATCCTACACGATACAAGGTCGGTCCACGTTGCAACGAATAGAAACGACGAATAGCAGTGAGTAGAAACTATGCTATAGCAAGAATAGCAAGGAATAGAAACACAACGCGCACCGAAGTGCGATGTGCAACACAACCTGACCCGCGGGACGGTTTGCATGGTCGGTCGCGTTTGCTGGGTCGTGTACCGCGTTTTTGTATTTTTGTTTGGGACCGTGCACCGCACCATACGCATCATGTCTGGGCTCGTCGTGCTTTGTCATGCTATGTCATCGTGCTAGCTCCGTCACCGTGTGGGAGCCGCGGTTGTCGGCTTGATTCCGGCGCCCGCACGTTTTTTCCTTTTTTTTTGTTCGGGAGCGCGCACCGCACCGTACCGCACTGCACTGCAGCTGGGGTCACGCAACATGCTCCGATGCTCCGGAGTGTACCGCTTCATTGTGTACGTTAGCTCCAACACCAAGCGGGAGCCCCAGTCCCCGGCTTGATCCCGGCGCCTGCACATTTTTTTCGTTCGGGACCATGACTGCACTACACCGCACTGCACCGCACCACACTGCGCCGCACCGCACCGTACGGCACCATACTGCACCGCGCGTACCGTACGCGCGCACTGTCGTTGTATATCCTGCACATGCGTTGCGTTGTATATCCTGCACATTATGGATGCTGACGCGTGCACTGTACGCGCTATGCTATGCTATGCTGCGCTATGCTATGCTATGCTACGCTACGCTATGCTATGCTATGCTGCACTACGCTATGTTATGCTATGCTATGCCGTAGGCGCTCTTCTATGCCGTACACGCTATGCTATGCTGTGCTGTACGCGCTATGCTATGCCGTACGCGCTATGCTATGCTATGCTACACTACGCTATGCTATGCTGCGCTACGCTTTGTTGTGCTATGCTATGCCGTAGGCGCTATGCTATGCCGTACACGCTATGCTATGCTGTGCCGTACACGCTATGCTATGCCGTACACGCTATGCTATGCTGTACAAGCTATGCTATACCGTACACGGTAAGCCATACGCGCCATACGCGCCGTACGCGCTGTGCCGTACACGCCATACGCCGTACACGCCATACGCCGTACACCGTACATGCTATGCCGTACGCGCCATACGCCATACGCGCTATGCCGTACGCGTGTTCTACTTTGCACGTGGAACTCTCCGCATTGAAACTTACAACATGACCGTGTGTAGCCTGACCGCGCCGTACGCGCCGTACGCGCCGTACGCGCCGTACGCGCCGTACACGCTATGCCGTACGTGCTACGCTATGCCGTACGCGCTATGCTATGCTATGCTATGCTATGCCGTACGTGCTACGCTATGCCGTACGCCATTTGCTATGGTATGCCGTACGAGCTATGCTATGATGTGCTATGCCGTACGCGCTATGCTATGCTATGCTATGCCGTATGCGCTTACGACAGCACCGGGCAGCACGGAATTCAGCACCGTGCAGCGCGGAATTCAGCGGGGGACTACGGCCCCCTCGCGGGCGAAGCAGCCCGCGTCTAGTGCCGAGTTCGATGCTTGTCCGTCCGGTCGTCGTAGTCCCGACGTTAGACGGACGACGTTTAGTCGTTCCGTCGTCGGGACGGAGACCTTACCCCAACTTTGCTGTCCGTCCGTCTGTTCGGAGTCTCTGGAGAGTCGCCCTTTTTCGCCGTGTCGTGCGCGGTTTCGGAGCCGCGCCTTTTAGGCTAGCTCCGTCGCCGCGTGGGAGCCGCGGTCGCCGGTTCGCGCCCCGCCGTCGCCGCTTTTTTTCGTTTTTTCGCACCGCACCGCACCGCGCCGCACCACACCGCATCGCACCACACCACACCTGGGCCCGCGGAAGGCGCCCGGAGCATGGCCGTGCGCCGCTTCGTCGGGCGCGCTAGCTCCGACGTCGAGTGGGAGCCGTAGTCGCCGGTTCGATCCCCGTGCCGGCGCGTCGTTCTATCCTTTTTTACGTTGCGGCTCGCTGGCTTCGTCGCCTATTCTTCTATTTTTCGTTCGGGAGCGCTGCCTTCATCGTCGCGTGGTTCGTTTTTCGCGTCGTCGTCGTTTATTGTTCATTTCTTTTCGTTCTGGACCGTGCACCGCACACCGCGTCGTCCCGGACTGCACTGCTCCACGCCTGGGCCCGTGCAATGCGCCCCCGAGCATCGCCGTGCACCGCTTCGGTGTCCGCGCCGCACCGCACTGCACCGCGTTGCACCGCACCGCGCCACACTGCGTGTGGCAGTGCATCGCACCGCACCACACCTGGACCCGCGCAATGCGCCCCGGAGCATCGGCGCTCACTGCTTGTGGTGTGCGATAGCTCCGACACTGAGTGGGAACCGCGGTCGCCGGCTCGATCCCGGTGCATAAGTTTCTTTTTGTTTTTTCGTTCGGGACCGTTTACCGCACCGCACCGCACTGCACCACGATTTAACGCGCAAATCGCAAAACATTGGCTGCACCGCACTGCGCAATTTGACATGCGCCGACTCGCGCATTTTAACGCGCAACCCACCACACAACTCGACGTGCAATTAAACATGCAATTCAACGCGCAATTTAACGTACACCAAACCACGCAATTTGACGCGCACTGAACTGTGCAGTGCTTGTCCAACGTTGTCCGTGTAGGCTGTACGGCATTTTGTGAAGCTGTTTTGTTCATGGACGTTGCCTCGCTACAATATAATTGCACCGCATATATACGCATCCGGTTTACTTATTTTCAGATACGGTTGCTTTAAAGCTGGCGGTTGTAGACTAGTTGCGCTGCCGACATACGCTGCGCGGTATTTCGCGAAGCTGGCCTCTTTACATGCATCGGCTCGCTAACCGATTTTTGCCAGACAACAACATCTCGGCACATCAACGGTTGTTCATCGCCATCGATGGCTATTCATCGCCATCCTCATCTGCACATCCTACACGATACAAGGTCAGTCCACGTTGCAAAGCAGTAGCAATGAATAGAAACAACGAATAGCAGTGAGTAGAAACGATAGCAAGAATAGCAAGGAATAGAAACACAACGCGCACCGACGTGTGATGCGCAACACAACCTGACCCACGGGACAGTTTGCGCACTCGGTCGTGTTCGCTGGGTCGTGTACCGCGTTTTTTTTATTTCCATTGAGACCGCGCACCCCACCAGCTATGTCTCGGCTCGTCGTGCTTCGTCGTGCTGTATCATCATGCTATCTCTGTCACCGTGTGGGAGCCGCAGTCGCCGGCTCGATCCCACGACAACATCTCGGCACATCAACGGCACATCAACGGTGT